AGATGTCCCCTTGATTGGTCTTCATTTGCTTGAATCATAAAAAACAGAGTGAATTTAGCAGGCTAATACAGAGGCACCTGCATGATTTTGTAATCAACAGCACATAAGTATATCAGCTCAAATCTCTTAATTTGGGTATCACTACACAAGAAGAATGTTGTATACAGAAGAACAAAAACCAATTACAGAATCCCCATCCCCTGTATTTTTTTTCTCTTTTTACTTGAAGAGCTTGAGGCAAATTTGTATGGATAAAACCAACAAGCAGTGAACTTGCATATGCTCGATTAAAAGAATTATTCAATTTTGACTTGCTTCTGGCTTTGCTGTAAGACAAGGATAAAAATCAGTAGAAGGAAACATTGGTTTTACTCTTGTGCCCAAACTTAGTCCAAGGAATGCAGACCCCGAACTTACAGAGCACCAAATAATTCCGAACACCATTCAACAATAAAAGTGATCATTAACAACTTATTCAAAGACCGGGGAAGGGGGGTGTGGGGGGATGGAATGGACATAAATGAGGTATTAAAAAGCAGGGATTTAGTTACAGTATTATGATTTCCAAGTCATTACAGTTTAAGGCAAAATCTTATAGTAACAAAACACGTAACTAATGTGTACTAAAATAAGGTTATTTACTTAAAAATGATACATTGGACATAATCTGTGTACAGAACAAGCAATTCATGGTAAACTCAATAAGGCACCTTCTAAAGCAGATGCTGTACAAAATACATTAGTGTGTTACATTTTTAAAGGAGTATTCTACACTTCTGGCATATAACACACACAAGAGTGTGACCATTTGTCTTGTTCCACTCTTCTTTCATATTTTATTTACATCTTCTCTAAGTTAACTACAATGTTATTTATTCTTCTTGTATACAATATAGTACATTTCATTTTGGGCATGTCAGAGCACAAATGTCACTACAGGAGGTGGGCTTCTATAATTGCATTCGAAGGTAAAATATTACAAACCAACAATTACAAGAGATTTGTGAAAAAATTAGAAGTAATGTGCACTCCACTTCTGCTATACCAACCAAGGCTAATACACCACGGATCCATAAAGCACTGTATCCTGCAACATCGCCAGCCGTGTTCAGACATCACCCCTATTTAGAATAAAGATTGTGGGCAGAGGATAAAGACTTTTGACTTCAGAGGCACTGTCAGAAGAATGAGGAAGTACTAAATCATTCTCGTATTTGACAGAAGATGAGCTTTAAAACTATCCGCAATAGCCAAAGAATGCTTTTTAACTTTTCAAATATTTTAGATCATTAAAATACAATCTGTGAAGACAGAGTAGATGAAATGTATCCAAATTATTTGTTTTATAAAACACATTCAAATGGTCATGTAGCTCAAGATGTAAAATTTGATTCTAGACTACTATGAAGGTAATTTACAATATTAATTTTACATTTTATTCAATACTTCAAAACAGACTAAGAAAACAATTGGGGAAGAGTGGTGGATATTGGGAAAACTGTCAGTGTCTTGAGTAAAACTCAGGAAAAATTACATATTGAGTAAAATTCAGAATAAACTCAAAATGCAAGTCTACATTTTTCTGTAGGAATATCACATTTCTTGTGGAATTTACAAGTTGACCAGGAACACAAGGACTTTCCTTTCAGTTCTGTAATAGTAAGAACTATAGAACTGACTCAAATTATTTTCTACCTAACTGAAATCACATGGAGCAGGTTAAAGAAAAACAAAAAACCCCTCTGTATGTGAGTGTTTAAAAACTTCCAAGGCAGAGTCTTGATACTCCCCAATATATTTTCCACATTTCTGATTTTTATATTAAAAAAAAAAAAGAATAAAACCACATTTGCTAGTTCTGGGGGTATTTTTTTGGATGGCAAATGTTTAAAATTTTGATCATCAAAATGAGATTAATCACACTCCAAAAGAAGAGTGCTATTACCCTCCCTGACCTTAAAGGCTTCTGAACTCTATGGTTTTGCATAAAGCAACAACTTAGCTTTAGAATCTGCACTAAGTATGCTTAGTTATGTAAAAATTTATGGGCTAGCTTTGAGCAAAGTGTTTTGTTTTGTTTTGGGTTTTTTTTCCCCAAATGATTGCTAAAATATCAGTATAGACATACTTAGGCTCCAAACAGTGAATGACTTTGCATGGAATGTAGATATGTACTCGAGTGCTTTATGCAACCAGGTCCCTTAGCGATAACATTTTTTGGCAATACCAGGGAATCAAGGAATGCTAGAGACCTAGCAGCTCCTGTTCTGGACAATGAAAACTGCATATGCCTATATTTGAGTATGAACCTAGTAACTGAAGTGCTGAAAAATTAAGGTTAAGCTTAAGGTGAAAAGATTCCGCCCCAACCCCCCCCAAAAAAAAACCCCCGAGATCATCTTTGCAGCAGTCAGCTCACTACTTCTGTGTTAAAGTAAATGTGTAAATCAATTCATGTCTTAAGTGTCTACCAAAGATCACCATCCTATTGCCTCGCAAATGCCTAAACAACAGAGGAGAAAACAAGTGAATAATTAAAAAATATCAGAAGTCACTCTTCCAGCAATGGCTTCCTGAAGACTTGGGAAAAGTGAATTAAAAAAATTCACAAAACAAGTTTACAGCTAATAATGCTGTGCCAACTTCTAAAAGAAATTAAAAAAAAAAAATTCTGAATAGGAACTGGTTAATTCAAATAGACTCCCATGCTCTGAAAGTTTAAGGTAGCAGGGTACCTACATAAACATTTTTCCTTCTTATTGATAAAAATCCTAAAGAAAGGGGGGGAAAATAGCTTATCCCTTACTTTTTTTGGCTCATACCAAATACTTTCCAAATACCTGTGCAAAAATTACGTGCTAAGACATGATTAACAATTTCAAACTCATCATGTATTTCTTGGCAATGGACGGAGAAACGCTCTTTTAAAAAGCCCTTTATCATGACGATTGTGGCACAATATCATATATCTCTTGCTGTTTTCAAATAAGTTAAAATCATAGTTGACATACCTATGAACTTTTCAGCCAGAATACATATTAATACATAAAGGCATTACTGAACAAAAGTAATGACTTTATTTTTTTTAAAAAAAGAAATGTCCCTCGAAATAGCTAGTTTTCTATAAAATATGTAGAACTGTTAAATAAAGTCTGTACATCACAATAGAAAATAAAAATACTGCAATCTTTTGCCTGACCATTTACATTATGTGAACTACAGAATTAAAAAAACCCTAAACCTATTAGAAAGTTGTAATTGTTCACAAATCACATTAGTTCTGCATTACATTGTTTTCTATCAGTTGTATTTTCAAGGGAAACTTAAACACATCAAAACAATCTCCATTGTACATATTTTAAGACAACAAATAATCTGGCATAAATCAATTTGACATTTTAACATTTTTTTCATCAATTTTAATATTATTCCTAACTTTTTTCTTCAAATCTCAACTATGGCATATGTGTGTGTGTGCACGCATGTATCTAATTGTACATGTGTACCTAGGACTAGGTCAGTTTTTTTACTAAAGCACAAAACACACCATATAAATAACTTCCCTTTTTAAAGTTATCTAGAACAAAATTTACAGTACAAAGTTACAGGCACTTAAATTATCAAATAGGTTCAATGGTTCCAATACTGTGTGTTCTTTCTTCAGATGATTCACGCATTTGAAGCTTCAACTTGAGTTACGGTATTATTTTCTAACTTCAAAGTAGAAGTGCCAAAGGAGTTATAGATCAATAATTCTGCCTTACAGTAACCTCATGGAGGGGTTCTGGTTTTTAACCAACTTGTCTGAATCAGTGAAGAAAAGGAGGGAAATACAGTTTCCTGTGCATGCCAAATAGTTTGCACGATAGGACCAAATTTTGCAATTATTTTAACTTACTTCATCATAATGAATTAATCTTTCAATGCCGTTCCTCCCAAATGTGCCTAACTAGAACTTAAAACACCCACTGATTTACCTTATATCAAATCTTGAATTTTGTAACTGTCCACTAAGTGGTCCACAGACACAGCCTCCTGCATTTACATCAGGGCAACCCAGCTCAAAATCTGCACGTTGTGCATTTTACCTTCAACAGTCCACACATTCAGTTCTCCTGGTCTTGACCTTTACTGTATTCTCTATCTTCTGAGTCCCCAGCCTGTGCTTCCTGCCTTCCCTCTTTTGTGTTTGTGAATTAGACTTGTTCTCAAGCCTTTCAAAGCTTATCTTCTGCCTAGTTTTGTCAAATGATGAAAAAGCATGCTCCTACAGCTGACTGAGTCCCTCCTGTATGGAAAAAAAGTTCAGAACATGACAGGCACCTACCAGTGTGTCCCAATAAAGTAGAAAAGCAAAACTCATCCTCAATGGTCTTTCTGTTAAGATGTAAAGTATTCTACAAAAACACTGGCTGCATGTGGCATTGTGAAAAACATGCCAGATTTCATAGTCATCCAGTCATGGAGCCCACTAGACTGTGAAATGACCAAGGCAGTCTATACCTCTAAGAAAGGTTGTTTCAAGCTCTTTACAGACTTAGGTAGGTATTCCTTAACTTATTAATGGTTCACACTTTCGCAGTCCTCCTTGTGACCAAAACAAGAATAGAAATAAAATTAAAACTGAGATTTTGTAAGATAACTTAAAGGCAAGGAGTAAATTCTGTAGCAAATCTCCGATTGTGGAGCCACAAAATGCATGGAGCCCTGACCATAAAACTTTGTTCATTTAAATGGTTTCTCATCTATGCCAAATGACAGCAAAATAATCCTGGCACACACATAAAGGCGTAAGAAACTGTTAAACTGAGTAGTATCACAAACAGATTCATAATCTACAGGCTGTTTCACAAAACTTGGTATGGATTGACTAGGTTTTATCAGGTAGAAGGCAAAAAAAAGCTTATATTCTCCATCTCTGTTGAATCCATATAGCTTGTTAGGCTTTCACAGAAAGCACTGTAATCTGAACATTCAATTCAGTACCCAGAGTTTTACTGGAGACTCACTAAGTATGACTGAAGTCTCAATGCAGCTCAAACAAAACCAAAACGTGTATTTTATCAAGGCTGTCCATATACGTAGCATGTAGTGTATAGAGGCTCTCAGTATCACAGTCAATGAAGTACTGAAAGATTTGATTAGCAGCCTGTAGAAGTGTGCCGAGAAAATATACTGAATCTCAGTTATTTCCTCTTTCCACACAGGTCTCACCCATGTCTGAGTGAAAAGATCTAGGAGTCCAGCTTTGCTCTCCAATGTTCATTTACTATGTCAAATCTTTACATCTTGTGATTCCACCATCTTGGCAAGTGTCTTCTTGATCCTCAAGGCAGTGAGCCTTGAGGCAGGATTATGAGCCCAGCACTCAGACATTAATTTCAATATTGCTCTTAAACACTGTAAAATAAAAAACAAAGGAACAGTATTGTAAAATTTGACAGACCTGAGGTGTAGAATATTGGTTCGCTGTCAAACCCAAATTATAGAACTCCTAAGTCCAAATGTGCAACTTCTAAATTTTCTGCAAAATTTCTAATAGACAACTACTGTAAACAGATCAACTGGAAAAAACCAAAACAAAACCAAACACCCAAACCAAAACCCAACAACCACATCCCAATCCTTCTTCTTCCTCTCCTTCAGTGCCTAGTATTACAGTAGCTGGAACTAACTGAAGTGTTTCTTTAGTTTCACAAAGATGCATTACCAAAACTTATAATTACAATTCAAGAACAGTGGTACAAAAATGGTAGCAATAAAGCAGAATAATGTCCATATATATGGCAGAAAAACTGTAGAGAACTTTTTCACTGAAAATGAAGATGTGACAAAAGTTCTTTCAACAGTCAAAAAATAATATGGAAAAAAATGGGAATTCCTAAAAGAAATCAAAGACTTATGGAAAAAAGGATATGGCACATCTAGCTTGCTATGTGAAATAGTTACGTCTTATTTACTGTGTTCAAGCTGTGGCCCTTTAAAAACACATTTAAATTTAATATTTTGGTTACATCATGGCTTGCCCTGGAATGTAGAAGGAAAAAAGAAAAAAAAAGAAAAAAGAAAAAAAAGCACAAAAAAAAAAATAGGAAATCTACAAAGAAGTCTCTCCATATTCCATGAAATATCTTATGCCACAAACCAATACACTATATACATTAAGATTAATAAAACCAATTAAAAACTCTAAGTTTTAGCTCCAATCAAAACTCTGAAAAATATTCCACTATGTAAAAAGAAGCTCTCAGACCAGTATTCATACACTTGGATGCTGCTTAAAGGTATCTTCCCATCAGATCACTGAAAAGATTCATAAAGAATACAGTATTTTGAGTTGATTTCAAACATATCTTCCTCCTATTATTGCTATGAGGTTTTCAAAACATCAGAACATCTGGATGTAGTCCCTTTTTTACAATGTTTTAATATTTATTAAACTAAAATACCTTTCTATATTAGTTAACAAACTGAACTAATTTTTCCTTTCAGCATACTCACTTCATCACTATTCCATCTATTCGATACTACTGGGCGTAGGCGTTTGACACACACCACTTCTCTCATGTCCTCATAGGATGGATCACTTGGCACCATGTCATAATATGGCAACTGATACTCTTCAACAATACCTGGAGATAATTGTGAAAGATCGAGAACCATTAAAAAATTAAAATAAATCTATATATCTACTCTCAGATTTCATTATCCAGGAGCAAAAATTAACTCGATTTTGCGCAAGGCAAACCCACCACACTGTTATACTGTCATAAAAATAAAAAAATTTCACTATAAAAATCAGATATTTACCAGAAAAGCTCCAATATTAAGAATATTAAGTTTAATAGCTACAACAATTACTTGCAGTCCCTTTGACTTGATACCCAGTGTAGAATTTAACATCTTCTAATCCACTATATGCTATAAAGAAACAGGAAAAAAGCATAAGATGGAAGAAGAGGAAAATACAAGTAGAGATCAGTATGGTCACAAAAGAAAAGTGAAAGGAAGGACAAATCACAAAAATACGTGTAAGGAGAAAACTGAATGACACATGAAATGCAAGAGAGTAAAACAAAATAATAATATATTATCAATTACATTTTAAACATTTTATTAACAGCACCAGGGTGAAATACATCTGCATCCCACTATTTCTCCCAGACCAGGAACTGTGCTTTTTGAGCAAGGAAAAAAAATCCTGAGATGCTTAATTGTAGCAATCAAAAAGGTTTACTTAGTTCAGTGATTCTCAAGCTGTACGCTGGACAGACTGTTACTACTGCTTTTAAAGAATGCAAGCCCATTGATATAGCAGGCTTGTTACATTATTTCCTGGAGAAGTATTGTTGAAGTGAGACAAGGGCCTGGTAGATATTACCCAGAATATTTAAAAGTTTACCTCCTGTGACGCAGCGCCGAGCCATTTCCCAAATGATCAGCCCAAAACTGTAAATGTCAGCCATGATGTACGGTTGGAAATGATTTTTATTCAGGCTTTCATCCAGGACCTCTGGAGCCATGTAACGTTTTGTTCCCACTCTAGTATTCAAGGGAACATCAACTTCGTTGGTGTCACTATATGAAAATATTAGGAAGTTAGTGAATTGTGGACTATTAGAAGACAATGGTATGAAATCCTGTCTGATGCAATCACTACACTGCAAAGCTCCCGTTTACAAATTAAATTATTTCTTTTATTTGCCTCTCAATACTATACTTACAATACCTTGTACCTTCCTGAAAAAGATTATCTAGGAAAATGACAGTGAGTACTGAAGTTGACAGTTTACCGCTTCTTTTGCAAGACATTGAAAACACTTGTGAAAAAAATGAATTAAAAGCCACTATAAAAACAAGTATATTGGGTAACAACTCAGAAAATTATTCGCAAAGGCTTATGCTTTCTTTCATGCTCTACTGTAGCAAAAGACAATTTTCTGGCTCCACTGAACTCAAAAAAAGCGTTCAATAATACTATTATAGTATTACTTTTTCAATTAAGTTTCAACTCTTCAAATTTTCTGTAAGGTAATTTATAATGAAACTACATGACAGCAATTATTATGAAAGGCCAGTGTTGAATAACAAGTGTATTAGTTACAAGTGTATTAGTCCTCCTCCTTTACTCTACAAAGCTACTTTTATTTTTCACAGGAGTCTTATCATTGTTATCTTAAAAACCTATTTTCATCTCAATGCTTACCAGTGTTCAAAGGAAGAACAGCATTTTACTCTTAAAACTGAAAAAAACTAAAGCCATGCAACCAAATGATTTCATCTTCCTTTTAAATTGGACACCTGGTGCATTAAAAAAAAAAAAATCATATAGAAGTTTATCCACTACAGAAGAGTTGTTCATCTACCTGTTAAACTTCACTGCAAGACCCAAGTCAGCAATGCAGCAGGTTCCATTTTTCTTTATCAAGATGTTTTTACTCTTCAGGTCCCTGTGTGCAATAGCAGGCTTGCCTTGTGTCCCATAAATTTCTGTGTGTAGATGGCACAGGCCACACGCAGCAGAATATGCCAGTTTGAGGAGAGCCCTGTTGTCTAGCGTAGTGCATTTCAGAAAATCATACAATGATCCATTTTCATGATAATCTGTAATCAAGTAAAGCTGTGTCCAGGAGCCAGTGCCTTTAATATCTGCAGCTATGAAACCTATGAAATATATAAATGAAGTTACAATCTATTTGTATATAAATTTTTTATGTAACAGATTTAGTAAGAATTCCTAAAGCTATATTGTCTTGGACTGTATCAAAAGACACCTGTTGTTCCCCTTACGAAAACGAATAATGTAAAGCTCAGATTTCAACTGTACATGAGGTTACCATTCCAGTCTTCCAGCAAAGAGATTGCAGACACACTTCCAAGAGCGGCAAGATTGCACCCTTTTAATAACATTTTATTAGCATACATTAAGGGACACCCATCTGGTTATTCCATAGAAGCTGCCATATGCCCCTCAAGCCACCCACTAAGAACTCCTCCTCCTTCACCCTCACACAAACCCTCCAGTAGCCAAACAATGTCCTGCTTCCTTACCAAGGATGTTTTCATGACGCATTAAAACAGTTTGGTAAATCTCTGTTTCTCGAAACCAACTGGCTTCTTCTGTGGTGAAAAACACTTTCACTGCAACTTTTTCACCCCTCCATTTGCCCATCCACACTTCACCATATCGTCCTTTTCCAACTTGCCTCACCATTTGAATTTGTTTGGCAATAGTGCGCTGAACCTAGGGAAGAAAAAAAAAAAAAAAAGAAAAAAAGGAGAGGAAGGTGGAGGAGGGAAACCCAGTGATCAACCAGAAGTACCTGGACAAGCTGCTTCTCAAGCTTGGATTGCTTTGAATTTTGATCCCATCATAAAATTTGTTGTATACTATTTTGCACTATTCCCAGTTCAAATTCATTATTGCTGCCTCCAAGGAAGAATTGTATAGCAAACCCCAAAAGATTAAATCAGCTCAACTTCTTATTTAATTCAGATGCATTCTCTTGCATTTTATTTGTTTCTATTTTATAACTACAGTCATCTGTCTCACTGGCTAATTTTTATGCAAGTATTATATGGGATGGTGAGTGAAAAATTACAAACAACTACCAGCTAATAAAAAGCATATTATTTTATCGGACAGTGGACACTAAGAAAAAAAATTTTTGAGTTTCCTCAATTTGATACTTGCATTAGCCATTCATTGCATTGTTATCTTAGTGTCTGTAGGCGCTAATTTTTCTTTAAATTTTGCAGATGCCAACAGATTTCCTAACATACAATGTAATTTTGCACTTCATTTTAGGTAATTATGTGAAGATGGGCTTGTGTACATGTTTAGTTTGTACTGTATCTTTCACAGTAATTGCATATAAAATAATTAACATACTGTATGGATAATCCACTTTGTTCTTGGCGTTAGGTACAAGCCAAACTTTGTATTTGATGGAGAGAAGTTCAGTGAAGAAAAATCTTATTTTATTATTACCAGCAATGGTAGCCCTGATCCACTCCCAGAACTCTGTGACTGGTCAATAAGGTCTTTTAATGACTCCCCAGCTGGAATAAATGCTTCATCTTGTTCCAGGTCACGATTATAACAGTGCCTCTTTGCCATCGACTTACAGTAATGTCTGCAAAAGTAACAGGAGAAGTTAAGATGAACTCCAAAACACTCTCCAAAATATGTAGTAAATTGAGACAGGAAAAAAGTTATTTAAATGTACAAGTTTTCTTAAAAGAAAAAAAAAAATCAGATTTCACTGTACCATTTTTTTCAGAAATGTAACTTAGTTTTTTAATATTAAGAAGTTGTTGTAATGCATGTAGAGGCACGCCAGTTTATTACGAGTCAGGTAGAAACCAAACATTTTTAATACTCAGCTCACAGATAGTGCTACTAGCATAACACCATTGGTTTTGGCTTAAACAGACTGAACCTCGAACCATGGCAGATGACGCCGAGACATGGACATTTCTTCTGAAACTGCTAGAACAATAATCACCTCCAGCACAGGGCTGCAGCTGACAGAAGCAGGCATGGTCTCTTAAACTGCACCTGCATGAATTGCTGTCTTTCAGCTCGTCAATTATTTAGTTTTGAAACACAGCAGAAAAAGGAAGTTATATAACGCATCCTTGTCACTTTAGGCTTGCAAAAGCACTTTACAAAGGTAAATCTCAGAAGTAGATGGAATTTAACTATGAAAAGTGACTGAAGATCCAAACCCAGAAAAAGCATTAAGATATTCCTGTTTACTGGATGCTATAGCATCAAAGTTATATGTAGTTTGGAAAACTGTAAACACTTTGTAGCCAGAGGAAAGGATCAAATTCACTTAAATTCTACACTGTGAACATTTCATTTTACCTAGCAATACAAACTGCTATGCACAGAAATGTGAAATTAAATTACAACGGTTTAACTTCCAATCTATTTTTGTCAGAAATACATATGATTAACTGAGTACATTTACAAAATACAACTTTTCTGTTTACACTCATTTGGGAAATTAAAAACTTTGCCAATAAAGAAAGTGCTTTCCTTACTTGTAACAAAAGCAGCTAAATAAGATGATCATGACAATTATGCAGACTGCCATAGAAATCAACACTGCCATCCAACGAATGCTGCCATCAAAAAGTCCATCTAGTTAAAAAAAAAAAAACACAAAAGGAAAGTTTCCAAAGTCTATTAATTAAAAATCCATTGTAAACAGTTTATTTCGGTATGACATTTTCATACCCTGTGCATATGAATATGCACAAACTAAAACACAGCAGGCAGGTTTTGTCTGAACCTCAGGAAATACTTCTTTACTGTGAGGGTGATCAAGCGCTGGCACAGGCTGCCAAAGGAGGTTGTGGAGTCACCTTCCTTGGAGATACTCAAAAGCCATCTGGACATGTGTAACTGGCTCTAGGTGGTCCTGCTTGACCAGGGGGGTTGGAAGAGAGGATCTCCAGAGATTCTGTAACAGTGTGTGGAGCCACTTGCAAAACGTCAGAAAGGAGCAAGACAGTTGATGCATACAACATACCAGTTCACATGAAATTACACAAAATGTGTAGTGTTTTAGTATCAAAGTAAGTATTTACACCAGAAAAGCAGCAGTAATTTAATTTGGATGACAACAAAACAAAGGATTTAGCTTGAGATTTTGGAGTTAGAACAATTTCTAGAAATAGAAATGAAGGATTTACAGCAGTACAAGTCTGAGAAGGTATTAACACTTAAACCAGTGCAACTTGTCTAGCAATGAATGAGTAAGTACATGAAAATATAAGCTATTTTCACTGGGAACAACAGAAAGAAGAGAATGAATTTACAGTAGATAAGTTAACAATGTCAGGATACCACTTTTTAAGATAGATTCACCATGGCAGAAGTACAGCAGAGATTAAGAAAACCATTTTCAAAAGAAAAGAGAACAGGCTGCAGAATAACAACAGATCAAAAGATCACATGCAGATCAAGATACGAGCAAACTAAGGAAGAGAAATAAAAATACTGTGAGTGACTGATAGAGAAAAAGATTAACTCGGAAGTGGCAAAAAAAGGAAAACTGAAAATAGAGTACGAATTGTAGTACGGAGCTTCGTATCAAAATTACTTAGTAAGGAAAAAAACAGATCTGTGCAATACTTTAATTACATTTTCTCCTTACTTCTACCTGTTGATCAGGAAGAACAGAATCTACATAGCATTTATTAGCAGCAGAGTGAACATCTAGGAGCTTTTTACCTGTACTATCAAGTGGTGGTAACGTTGGCTGTAAATCCTGATTGCAGAAATCAGTCCGACAGCACTCAATTGTTCGACGTAATTGTGCTTTAGGTGAGTCCTGTTGAAGGAGAATTAACATTCAGATTTTGAAGTGATCAGCTAGGACAAGCACAGGTGACACTACTAATAAAACCAACACAGACAAAAGTTTAAGTTATTTTATTTTGAAGTTCAACCTCATCTTTTAATGTATGAGACAACTTCACAGTGGCAGACGAGCATCATCTAATCTCTTTGGGTGCATATATTCTATGTTCACATTTTTTTATTTTTCATGGAATGTTTTTACTTGGTGCACAGAAATAGATGGTTCCTACTTAAGTTGTTATTTCATACATCGTAAAATGTTTAAGCTTAGTCAAAAGCAGTTCATTGTATGTTAAATTAAATACTGCTCTTAAGACAAAAACCCCCAATCCCTTTAGAAGTTTTTCTCTTGCACTCATCATAGCAGCACTGTCTGCTTCAAAAACATCTTCAGAACACCATATAAAAGGGGGAGGAGCATGACAATTCATCTGGAGGCAAGACACTAATATAAATACAAGAACAATGTCAGGTCATCCTGCCGCCTCAGGTCTGATTTGCAGTAACCCTAAACACTCGCAGCTATAACTGAAATCAACAATGCTTTCAAAAAGCAGTGCTACTGCAAGCTACATTATACAGAAACTCTATTCCTCGAGATTTAAAATTGAGTATCCAAAACAGTGATTGGGGGGGGAGGGGGCGCAGGGGGGGCCAAGGCAGCTGATGATTAGCTCTGAAAGCTTTGTTTAATGTAAGCAGTGTGACAAAAGAAAAAGCAAAATCCAGTCTTCCAAGGCAATATTAATTTGCCCAGCTAATGCTAGATCCCTGTCTTCTAAACAAATCCTTGCTTTAACAACTGTGTTTTCAGTTCCAACTTTTGCTATGGATAAAAGTAGTCCTAAAGGCAGCAGTCTGCTTAATTATACCCCTTTAAATCAAAAGCAAGCTATATCCATGCAATTAATGATACATAATTCCTCTAGAAAGACAAAAAAAAAAGTTGTATGTCTGACAGGAAAACATACACATTTGATAAACTGTGTGTACATGTCCATGAAACTTTAAGGGAGCTCTTGTGCGATCTGTGAAGACAAGTCCTTATGATTAGGCTCTTCTATCAAATGAACTGAAGAAGAAGAAACCAAGACGTTCCAAATTAAACCAACCAAGAAATGCTGCATTAAAACATAAACTACTCAGACCAATTAGGTTGACTATAAAGTTGTCTCTTCAACTAAGGAAACAGCTAACAGAAGTAAAAGATTTATGTCCTCTGTTTATTTTGTCAGTGGTTTACAGATACTTGCAGAGAACTCTGACACTCTAGGATTATATTCCAATCTTTGCTCAAACACCATGAAGTATCCTTTCTGTCACTATTCACCCATGACTGTTCAGTTCCATTCTGCTCAGTGGTAAATGGCAACATGCAAAATTCTGTGACTGCATTGTAAAGTACAGAGATTTAAACTGCTTACGCTGTCTCTCTACATTATCTCCATGAAGATCTTAAACTTTAATGATATCTCATTTTTTTACCTTGCACTGGAAGTCTGAACCTTCATACTTCATGCAGCCAGAAGCAAGCGTAGGTTCTCCATGTTCATCTTCCTCAATGATAGCAAAGCAATGCCCGTTAGTTCTGGAATAAACATTTCAGTTGTGCTTTAGCAACATTTTTGTTGTTTAATATGCAGCACTAGTTGACCATGAACTCATTAAGAATGCTAGAATGGCAATACCTAGAAAAATTCTTCTTTAACACAGTGGTTACCATACAGTTTGAGAACAAAACACCCCCATGGTATTTTCAAGTAGAACACTGTAGAGATGTTTTCTCCCGAACATTCTAGTCTTCTACTTCCTCACCCCACTTCAAGATTGCTCATATCCAAACACACACACGTGGTTGTTCAGAAACAACTGACGGGGTGGAAGAGCAGAGATCTGCCTAAAAAGGCTTACTGACTACAATTTTATAGGTTAAAACAAAAATAAAATTCACTTGTGTCTGTTCTTGAAACTGCCATGATAAACTCTTGAAGAGAAGTTCCAGTATGTGTAAGGTGGCTATTTCAAGGTCAGAAGCTAGCTACACTTTTCCCACATAAGCTCTGTCAAATATTCGGCCTTTAGGACAAAGCAAACAAACCCCCAAACCCACTTTCTGAAGGTAAGAGTAACAAATAGCTTAAAAAAAAAAAAAGGCACTTCAATTCCCTATTACCTCTTTATACAAATGCTTTGACTTCTATACTACATGAAAATGCCAACAATATTTGTAAGGAATCCCAAACCAATTCACAATGGTAGGTCTGTGCTTTCAAAATTAAGATTTTAAGTAAATCAAAATTCATTCATTCCCTCAACATAGATACTAAGGAAAACAAATCCAGAAATATTTTTGTTTGCAAAAAATTTTTTATTTAAATGAATGTAAAGAAATGCAGATTTGGGAAGCATAATGCCATAAACTACCCTGCACACGAACACTGCGTAAGTGTTATTAACTCTCTAACAGCTTTATTGTCACAATAATGATCTATACAGCCATTCGTTCAGAGGCAAAATATTGCTAAGGTCTATACTGATGACATACACTAGAGGGCAATAAAAAGCAAAAAAATAAATACCAAAGGAATTGAAAGACACAATACTGGATTGTAACTGAATATTTTCTAGGTGAACAACCGTGTGTGTAAAACACTACCCATATTTACATTTAAAAAGATGGTAGTGTTTATTCCATCCCCTTGGGTTCCACAAAAACTGCTTCATCTGCCAAGTGACAGCTTTAGAGAAGCTTAATATTATGTGTTAAAGACTCAAATTACAGTAGCAAGTAATACGTTTTTTAGCATGTATCTTTATATTAATTCTTAAGGGAGAAAACAGAAGGGCCTTAAACGTGAAACTGCAAATGAAGAGAAAAAGGAAAAACAAGGACATTTCACAACATGAAATAAACATCTTAAGCAAGCAAATGATAAGGGTATGAGTCTGTAGGATTCTTATGCCTAAGTTAAAACTACCCTCCTGTCCCTGTATGTTCAGAGGCTTTTCTTTTTTTCCCTGCCTTTCCCTCATACTCTGCAACTAACGAACATGTAACAAGACTTCTCAGTAAATGGCTATGTGGCTAACATGACCTTTTGACTACTAGGTGAAAAAAATACTGGACTATGCAAGCAGGTAGTCATATCACAGCGTTCAGATTTGGGTCATTTAATACTCATCCAGTTATAAAACGCTGCAGTATACTTATAACCTAAGTCCTTCAAATCAGTTTCTGGGGGCAAAATGACCGATTGCAAATGGGTTTAAGGTATGGTGAAAGCAGTATTGGTTACTTACAGATGACGGTGACCGTGGATTTTAGTGCTCAGCTCTCCACAGAACCAGTGAGTTTTTAAGCAATTTTGGCCAAATCACCTGACAGAACCTCAGTCAGCACTCTAGGGATAGTTTGCTCTCTCATGAGCAAAAATGAGCCTCTTCCGTACGCAATACTTACATGCATGTGTTATTAATGGCATCATCTGGACAATGTCCTGAGCAGTAGCACTTAAGGAAAGGTAAGGTGTCCTCTGGAGCAAGTGTTACTCCATTTCCCTGTTTCTTTTGGTCAGGATTTGTCTTCATTCCTGTGCCATGAAGCATGCTGTCTAGATTTTGACCTGGACATTTAAGAAAAAGAAAACAAAGAAAATATTTTTGCATCTCTCTGATAACTGTTCAAGAGCTTTAAGGCAAAACATGACAATAGAATAATTATATTCACAAATAATTGAATTATACAAGACATAACAACCTCCTCTCCCAGGATTATGGCACAAATTTGAGTTAATTTTATTCTAGAAATACCTAGCTCAAATATTTTGTTTCTTAACAACAGATCGGCCAACCATAACCAATATAAACAGAAAGAAGATATTTTCCCTTTTTGAGGTGGGGCAGAAAAGTAGTGATGTAACTGGTAAGAATTTTCTGAAGAAAGCCTCTCTCATTCATGTGTTTAGAAAACCAAAATGCTGACCGCTTGATAATCACAACAGTATAGTTTTATGCATGACTGAACGTACTTAATACGCAATTTTCTAATTTTCTGAACTGAAGTAATTTTTTACGGATTCACAGTCTCATAGAAGAGCAGTAATAACTCCAAAATCTCTTGGGTTTTTTGATCTCTGTACACATTAGTACTTCAAAACAGAGCTAAAGTAAATCTTGTTTGCAAATTAAATTTCAGTAAATGACATGAACATCCACACAAATGAGCTCTCAGAGAATAAAAATAGGGCTAAATTACATTCCAAGTAGCCCTCAATTTCTCAACAGTAGGAAAGTTGAGTATCATTTGTTCTAGTTCATATTATTAAAGTGCTTTGGTGAATGTAGGCATTCAGAAAAAGAATTCCACCTGTTTTCTTCTTAGCTATGAACATCCAGAAAAAAAAAATTGAGGAACACTACCTGCCTCATTTGGCATATGCTTTGTGACCACTATATGAGATTATCACGCATAATTTTACCAACAGAAAATCTCTTTCTGTCTATCACATAACAGTATTCTTGGCTCTAAGTCCTCAAGGTGTGAACCAAATAAAACTAGAAGAGTTGTGAACAGACTATCACCTGCGCTGACACAATCTACAGCAAGTCTCTGGGGGAGGCTCAGTGTGCAAGACAAGAGAATAGCCAGTTAGGACCAACAGAAATTGTTACAAATTCAGTTATAATTAAAAAAAATTGAGATACCTCAGTAACTCTCAGAGATTTTAGTCACAGTAAAAATAAAAAAAAAGTATTCTGACCAGGAAACTCACGGTCTTTTTTAACAGATTCCTGTGGCTTCCTGTCAAACCCACTGAACACTACTAATGAACTGTAGGCTAATGAGAACGTTACTCTCATGTTGTACCTTGCTTGAAAGATGTGCAGAAAAACTTAATTGAAACCCTGTGCAGATACCACCCTCTGTATTACTCTATTGTAACATGCACTATATCATTCAGCCAAATGTGCGATTAGGTATTTGTGAACTTTGATCTCATTGTTCTAAAAAAAAGCAGACTTGCAGATTTCCCTGTCTAATTAATACAGCACACCCAGTGCATTGTCCCGATTCAGCAATGTCCCTGAAAGTAATGAAACTGTGCCTTTTCAGATACAATTAAGAATATATCCTAAGAAAGGAGAGCACCGTTTACCTAAACCCTGAAATCACTTAGCCATGTTTTATTTGAAATGTAGTTTTCAAACAGTACTTCAGTAATGCCCAAGTTAAATATTCCCGATATGTACAGACTGTTAGCCAGAAGGAAGGTCCAGTGCTAGAGTAACACGGTTACGCAACAGGCATTTCCGATTTAACCAAAAGGAATTTTGCATGTATGAAATAGCAGCTCCTCCATCTGTCCTCTCTCTCTTTCTACAGCATAAACAGAAAGCTCATTTTAATACTGTGCTACAGATGTTACACATCATTCTGTATTCACGTTTAAGAGATCCTTACCTGCTGAGAGAACAGGTAATTCTACTTAATATTTAAAGGAAAATCCACTGCATATGTACAAATATTGCCTTTCCTTCTAATTTTGTTGAACTACTAAGGTATCTTTCCTAATTAACGTTACAAAAACCTGTTTATCTTCAGGGACATTCTACACTTTAGAAGACTGAATACTTTATGATCTATGTCTCACAGTCACTCATCATTTTCCTACTCTAAGCACTGAACGCAGCATTTTTTTCAATTTGTTATGTGAGAAATCAAGGAACCCCTAAAGCATAGCTTCTCCTAGCTCAGAAGAGAAAGAATAAAATTATGATGCAGGTCTGGGAATTTTTAAAACAGTATTATTCTTTGTAAACTAACACTGAAGCATAACCACAGATATACCAACCTTTTACACTAAAACTGAGATGAAATACATTTTTCCTCTTAATTTACGACGATGGATTGTATAACAAGATTTATGAAGAACAAAAATAAAATCCAAAATAGATAACTGTATTTTCAAAGAACCAGCATCTTTGTCTTCTGTACAGTTTATATAGGCAGATTTTTATTCAAAGTAAAACCAGACTACAATTTCATTATCCCTCTAATGTGAAAGAGAAACAGTACTCCATGGTAGTCTGTTTTCATCTTGCAGGTAATACCTGAATTGCACAAAGAAGGGGGCGGGCGCAGAAAAATCACTTCACTCTTGCATTATTACTTTCTAAGACTGTAAGAGAACTCGTATTAAACAGGAGTTTAATTGACTTTCCAAGGAAGGAAGAAAAAGGAAAATACTGAGACTGTTTGGGATCACTTCAGAAGCAACTTTTTAATAGCTCCTGTCGAGATGTTACCCCTAACTGCAGTACTACAATTCACCCTCAGCATTTCAAGAAAGATTAGTGTCTACCTTAAAGAAGCTAGGTATGGGGAAGGGAGATACATGTGGAAAATGACTTGGCTTCCGTTCCTCTGAGATGCTAAGAGGGCAGGTCAAGATCTGAATGGGTTCACAGGGTGTTTCATTGCTGTTTTTCCTGGCTAAACGAACAGGAGTGAATTAAGGATCCCTAAAATGTGACCCTTCCTTTCTCTGTCCTGCTCCCAAAAGGAAGATAAAGCAGTGTGAATGTTGGAGAGGTGGAGCTCTCAGGGTTGGAGATAACGAGAGTGCAAGAGGGTCAGGGTGGCTTCTGAAGCAAGATGTCATTTAGGCATATCCTTCATTCACTCCTAGCATCTTTAAGGTAGACACTAATCTTTCTTGAAATGCTGAGGATGAATTACAACATTCAATGAAATATCAGAGTGATGGTGAGCTGGAACATTCTCCTCACATAATCACAGTGTGAGACAATAAAGAGAAATAAGCTGATGGGACTTCAAGCTCCCAGTTCACCATTTGCTCTGCCCTATCACAACATTGTCTCATACGTATTACATTAATTTTGTATTTCTAGAAGTGTGAACAACTGCTACAGATAAGCCATTTAAATGGCTTTCTGTTTAAAATGAGACTTCTGTTATTAAAAAAAAAAACGACTGCCAATTTATCATACCCAGCTCTTGACTGAACATATAAATTATTCAAATAACTACTTTTTCCAATCATAAAAAAATCAGTTAGACTATAAAATGCATTTTAAAGAAGCACAGTGTATTAAAAATCCCACTAGGTTAGAAACATAAGCCTACTTGAAAGCATGGCTTCAAATACTAATATTAATATAGATAATCTTCAAAAGGTACTGTGTGTGACAGTGAAATGTTATTAGCCACTAAAAGCTGAGCTAACTTGGTTGCAACTCAATGCCAGGATACATAACTTCACTAAGTCTTCTGATCTAAGAAAAGATTTGTGTAACCCATAAAAAACCAGGTCTATTAAGAAATGGAGAGACAAAGAGCAGTAAGTGAAAGTAAAATACAAAAGCCAAATTATGCCTATAGTTTCTTACTTAAATGTATCCCCTCTACCTCCACAAATAAAGTTGCAATGCTAGAACTAGTAGCCTACAGCATTCAAGTTGTGCAATAGCTTTCTGAATTCATAATATAGATGTTCCACACAAAAACCATTTTTATTCCAGGGTACCTTATCCTTAAAAGGGATTTATCCTAGCAGAACTACAGCACTCAGCATTTCTTTGTAGCTACTCTGATCCAAGCTTGTAAATCCCAGTATTTCAATATTTAAATAAAAAGCATTGTTGTCAGAAGAAAACCTTTACCTGCCTTCTTGCTGGTGCTAAAGCTGCTTGCTGGGGCTGGCTGATGCTCAGGGCGTGCCTACACTGGGCTCTTTCCATAAAATATGAAAGTTGTACCAAAGCTCTTCACAGAATCATTTAAGTTAGAAAAGACCTTTAAGATCATCACATCCAACTGTTAACCTATGACTGCCAAGTCTGCCACTAAACCACATCCCTAAGCACCACATCTACACATCTTTTAAATGCCTCCAGGGATGGTGACTCAACTGCTTCCCTGGGCAGCCTGTTCCAATGCTTGACAACCCTTTTGGTGAAGAAATTTTTCCTAACATCCAATCTAAACCTCCCCTGGCGCAACTTGAGGCTGTTTCCTTTTGTCCTATCACTTGTTGCTAGGGAGAAGAGACCAACACCCACCTCACCACAACCCCCTTTCAGGTAGTTGTAGAGCGCGGTAAGGTCTCCCCTCAGCCTCCTCTTCTCCAGACTAAACACCCCAGCCCTCAGCTGCTCCTCGTAACACTTGTGCTCCAGACCCCTCACCAGCCCTTCTTTGGACACGCTCCAGCACCTCCGTACCTTTCTTGTAGTGAAGGGCCCAAAACTGAACACGGTATTCAAGGTATAGCCTCACCAGTGCCGAGTACAAGTGTATAATGACTTCCCTAGTCCTGCTGGCCCCACTATTTCTGATACAAGCAGGATGCTGTTGGCCTTCGTGGCCACCTGGGCACACTGCTGGCTCATATTTACTCTCCCCCAAGCCTCTAATGTTGCATGGGGTTGATGTGACCCAAGCGCAGGACCCAGCTCTCAGTCTCGTTGAACCTCATGCAGTTGGTCTCGGCTCATCGATCCAGCCTGTCGAGATCCCTCTGTAGAGCCTTCCTGCCCTCCAGCAGATCAACACTCCCACCCAGCTTGGTGTCATCTGCGTATGTACTGAGGGTGCACTCGA